CCCCCCCAAAAAAAAACCCAGAGCAATTCAACAATGCCACAGCATTTAGCACAGATCCTAGTCTCAATTGGACATTAGAAATTTGCACATAGCACATAAATGCACCAAAAAATAAAATTCTAAATACAATTAGTATTCGGTTACGCTTCAAGAATTCAAAAACAAAAAACAAAGGCAAAGACGGTGCTACATTTCCACGACTCACTCGCACCACCACCATGAGCAATTCCTGCTGAACTGTACCACAGGCCACCTGTGCAAGACAATCACCTGTCCAAGACAATCACCTGTCCAAGACAATCACATGTCCAAGACAATCACATTTACAAGACAATCACATGTCCAAGACAATCACCTGTACAAGACAATCACCTGTCCAAGACAATCACCTGTGCAAGACAATCACCGGTACAAGACAATCATCTGTACAAGACATTCACCTGTACAAGACAATCACCTTCAAAGACAATCATCTGTACAAGACAATCACCTGTCCAAGACAATCATCTGTCCAAGACATTCACCGGTACAAGACAATCACCTGTCCAAGACAATCACCTGTCCAAGACAATCACCTGTACAAATGGTCACTTGTACAACACAAGACAATCACCTGTCCAAGACAAGACAATCACCACAATCACCTGTACAAGACAGTCACTTCCCCCTTCCACATTTATATGTTTTTTAATAATTATAACAACACCGTCCAAAACATCCACCTGTCGAAGTTAGTAAAACAACCACTTTTCTCAACAATAATGTACGACCCTGGTGCTTTCTTGTCCTATCTCCATTTGTAATAAAAGAGAAAGCAGTTCATAACAAAGAGTGAGCTTAAGAATAAGTCACAGTTTCACTGTTTAAAAAAAATGGAGATATACGACAAGGAAGCACAGGGGTTGCGAATGGGTGGCCGTCTTGTGGCAAAATAAAATCTCACCTTCCAATGATACATGGTCGCTTTTAAGCACAAGGGGGCTATCCCGAAAAATGCTATTTTGAGAAAATCGAAGGTAAAGTTTTTGCCCCTTGTTCAGTTTCTTTGAAAGACAAGGAGAGTTTTCTCTATAACCAAACAAATATACACACCAATGAAACCGAACTTCTCCTATAGGTAGGACACTGCCCTCTTTTGGTGTAGGTCAAGATTTCTGGAAACCCTCCGAAATCTGGGTTAGCCCGCTTGTCCTTTAAAGCGACCATATTATGGTAGGCAAGAATGGTAAGTTTCAAAAAGATGTCAAAGTCTCTGCATATATAGATTATCTCTTCTTGTTGCTAATGTCACATAGATCTATGATTTTTTTTTTTAGAAAAAAAAAAGAAAAAAAATGAATGAAGACCACAACAGAAAAACTTGAGAAATCACAAATTTCCTTCCCAAAGTTCTTGCACTTATTTGAATCTCTGGCCACTTATTTGAACCTCTGGCATCACGCATAACAGACAGGACTGGCACTGTTCTTTTGTTTGTTTTTGTAAGAGTTTTACAGCGCTCGCAACTGCATAAGGACTGGCACTGCTCTAGCCTAAACAGGTCAGCAGATCTTTATGATTTAAAAACACATGTGAGGCAGCGTGGTGAAATCATTCACTCATCAAAATAAGGAAATCAGAGAAATCGGCATTTTTCCAGCGGGTTTTACAATTTTTTTCTAATTTTTGTTTAATGGTTCAACACCTTATCTTATATATATATCTATTGAAAAGCATATTTCTGTGGAGATTTCAATAGAAAAGTTGATAAAAGGGACAAAAAAAGTACATTATTCATTTCCAAGGTTTCTCAAGCTATGTAACACACCAGACTTTGGTGGCCATTTTTTCGCAAATTTTACCTCTGAAATCAGGCAACCCTCACCTCCTTCAATTGCAAATATCTCGACTCCTGTTCAAGGTAGATGGGTAATTTTACAAATGAACAAGCTTTAGAATGGTACCAGTAACTCCAAATACTCATATTGCCAACAATTGACGAGCGCCTAAACTGCCTCACAGACACCCCTGGACCTGGATCTGTCCAGGCCATCAGGAACCACTTCTTCTCCTTCAGAGGCAGAGAATGCCACTACTGCAGGACAAAAACACAAGATTTGAATCTTCTTGAACAAGTCTGCACACAGAGAGAGCATGGTTGGTGTTGACAAAACAACCCTATATTTATATAGTCAAGGTTTGTTCTTAACTCTTTAAACCCTGAGTTTTTTCTACAGTTTCCCAGAGTTTTTTTCAACAGTCACCTAAACCTAGTGCACTATGTGATGTCTCATTATAACCCCAAAAGCTTTCCTCCAACTTCTAAACAGTGGAAACAAAGGCTTAGTCATTACTAAAAAACTAGTTCGGGAATAGTTCCGAAAAACAAGCTAAAAGGTAGCACTAAATAAAACGAAACAGTTGTCTCTAGTACTGGACGCTCCCAGTGTCCGATGGGGTTCAAAGAGTTAATGTTCACATTCAACATCAGTACAGTACTGTACATGTATTGCCCCGATAAGATGCCCCTTTTAAACTAGCCCTCCCGGACAGAACACGAACTTTACAGAAACTGAAGTGCTCTTGTCCTGGCACGCCGCTGTGAGAATCAAGGAAAATGAGCCGTGATTGATTGATTGATTGGGTAGATGTTTTACAGCACTATCGACCCAATTTAAATGAGCCGTGAAGGAAGAAGGAGACCCCATAACAAGCCACTGCGCTGAGACACAGAGTGAAGCCCAGGACAAACTGCTCTTGTCCTAACTGACGGCGTCAGCGGTTACCAGCGGTATAGGGTTTTAAGGGTTAACTTTACTTTTTTTCCCCTCATTTTTGCTTTGTATGCACGAATGTATGGTTTTCAAAAAATTGTTTTTGTGGAAGAATGTGACATTACATAGTGATGGCTCATATATTTACTAATGTCCTGTCTTGTTGTGCGTGTGCGTGAGTGCTCCTAAGCTTTGGAACATCTACTGCCATTGTAAACGACCAAGACAAATTTCTCCCTGCGAGATGAATAAAGATTGTCATTGTCTCTCCCCTTTGTGTGTGCATTTCCTACACAAACCTACAGGGTTATTCTTTTTTGTGGATTCAAACCCTATGACATTCATTACTACGTGTAGTACGAAAAAAACAAAAAAACTCACAGTCCAAAGGCCATCCATAACCACATACTAAGTAAACTAAGTTCATATCATAGCAATGAAACAATTATCTTAGCATTCTGCAAAACCCATAACTCATTGGCTGAAAAAAAACACCCCAAAAAATCGTGCCTACTGAACTTAATGGATTCAAACTATGAATTTTATAAAGTGCGTAAATGGATTTATTTTCCATTCTATGGCTTTCCCACGATACACTCCGACTATTTGTACCTTTTATTTCAGCAATGTAAGCTTCTGAGCACAGAAAATCAGTAGGCCTATTTAAGTTGATTTGATTTGCTATTTCCAATGGAAAAGCTTGAGAACTCCAAAAACTTACATCTGTTACCTTACAGCCTCTAGCGCCCTACAACGGGAGATTTTAAAAAAGAAAAACCTTTTCTATTCCCAGCTATATATAGTGCATCTAAGCTATAAAGTCACTAGTTTATTTGAATTGTGTGTGACTGGATAGGACCGGCGTTTTTCAATTTAAAAATCCAAGTTACTCAAAAATTACTCTTTGTGATTTATCTGGTTTTTCCCCTGTGGTCTTCAGATGTAAAAAAATCCAATTATAGCAACGATTCAAACTAAAATTAAAACCATCATTAACTACGTGCCTTATTTTGATTGGAATCCGCACCAGAAGACACTTTCTGTTTTTTCTTAGACTGCGACTGTTTCTCGCTGCGCTTGTGAAAGTTCTGCGAGTGTCTTACTTTAAACTTGTACAACTCTGGAGCGATCGTGCTGAGGGCTTGGTGAACCATGATAGCCGTCAGCCCCCAGATGCGATGTGTCGCGCCCGTGTACACAGGAAGCGTGTACTCTCCACCATTGCGGAAGCGTGTTGTGCCGAAATGGGTGGGGTCGCACAGATGTCGCAGCGACACGGCGAAGGTTTCCTCCACTTCGTCGTGGTTCACTCGGAGGTCAGAGAGAGAAATCTCACCGGTTCTCGCCAGGATGGGGTACACGATCTTCCTGCCACCCTGTGAGAAGAATTGAGTAGTTTAGTTTTAGTAGCGGTTTTACGGCGCTCGCAACTGCATAAGGTCATATGAATTGAGTAGAAGTCATAGAGTCGGCCCAATCATACATACACACACACACACATACACACACACACACACATACACAATTACATTTCCTAAAGAATGGATGAGGATAAAATTACATTACCAAAAACAGATCCTGAAGGTAGCAGAGTAACAGAGTACCACAATAACGCAAGCAACAGCGCCAACCACACGCTACAAAAAAAAAGAGTAAAGAATAACGCCACTAAAAAAAAAATTTTTTTTTTTTTAAAATCACAGACCACAGTTGGTAACACCTTTTGTGGATTTTTTAAGGAAGGGACGGTCTTGGGCGTGAAAGGCCCCACACACGTACGTTCCAACCGGGCAGTTTTAACCTGAGAAGGAAACCTGCATTCGAACCGCCATGCAAAAACGCCATTGGACGGGTCGGCGCGCCATCCACATCACACGTGGTTTAACCACACAGAGTGGACTGGCAATGACGATTCGCTTGCAACTTATGCGCTGCTCAGGGGGAAGAATTTTGTTTTCTCTTAAACAGTTGCAAAACCACAAATTCTGCAATTCGATCCAAACTTGGGAGGTAAAAATACAGGTAAGCACAGATATCAATAATGCGATTGTACTAGTGCAACTAAATGTTTGAAATTTAACAAATTAAAGTACATGTCCAAAGAAAAGGAACAGAAAAAAAAAATCCCAGAATTCCCCCCCCCCCCCCCAATTTTCACAAAGCCCAGGCGACACATACAGGAAGCGTTCACAGACGTCGGCCCCCCTCCCCAGTAAACTAGTCAAGACTCACAGAGCCCGGCAAGTGGTTCAGCTGCCCCCACACGTCGAAGGAGGCAGGATCGATGCCCAGCTCTTCCTCTGTCTCCCTCAAGGCCGTGTGGACAAAGTCGCGGTCTGTCTTGTCGGCATTCCCGCCAGGGAAGCTGTGGAGTACAAAACCACGACTCAGTCAAGACGAGAACCTGCCGGGGGTTCTCGTGGCCTAGAGATTAAGGTGTTCGCCTCTCATTCAATAGGTCCCGGGTTCGAATCCGGATAGCAAAAGAAATTTTTCTTCCCTAAAATTGTCTCCTTTCACCTCCTTTCCTGCTCTCTAGCAATGTTTTGTCGTTTGCTTCCGTTTCCACTTTCTGCTCCCACCCCCCTCACCTCCTCTGCCCCCTCCTCTGGGCTCCAAACAATATGTGTCGAATATTCGTTCCTTTCTTCAGGCACATATACATTTATATTAAAGAGGACATTTTTAACCCAAATTCCAACAACATAATATTTCTGATCTCCGTTGTCCCACTCACCTGACCTGACCCCTATGTTTCCTCAGTTTGGACGAGCGGAGCGTGAACAACAGCGAGGGCTCCCCATCGACCGTACACAGCGGTACCAGCACGGCAGCGTACGAGTGGTCCTTCTTCAAGTGGTAGTCGTTCCACGACCGCACCGGCACTTCACTCGTCAGTTTGGGCACACACCGGGCTTTGTTTTCATCTGGAAGGAATCATTGTAGTAACATTTTTTACAGCACTTGCAACACAATTAGGTCAAGAGGCCAAAAAACAACGAAGGAAAGTGGAGAGACAGCTTAGAAAGACGGCCCTCCATGTCCACAAACAGATTTTGGCAACTGAACGAAACAACGTCAACACCCTGATTGAAAACAACAAGAAACAATTCTATCTTAACAAATTTCAAAACGTAAACTCCTGCAAGGAACTTTTTCGATTATCTGATCAATTATTGGGAAGGGAGAATTGTACACGGTTTCCACCTGGAAATGATAAAGAACTTTGTTGTAATTTTCTGCACTTTTTCAATGATAAAATTGAAAGAATAAGAACTGATTTAGACTCTGATATGTTAGATGTAAATTCAAATATATAGTTGTTGATGAAAATCTTGCAATTATAAACAAATCAACATTGAGTGAATTTAAAGTGGTATCAGAGAAAGATGTCACTAAGTATATCAAAGAGTCCCCAGCTAAAACATGCGACTTAGACCCAATACCCACTTCCTTGTTAGTTATACGCAGAAGATCTTGCACCATATGTTAATCGTTTTATTAATATGTCACTCACCTCTGGAATCGTACCTGATCTTTTCAAACAAGCCATTGTAAAACCTTTACTTAAAAAACAAAGTCTTGATGAAAACGACATGAGAAATTTTATGCCAGTTTCCAATCTAAACTTTTTACAAAAAATCCTGGAGAAAATCGTTTTGTGTCAAGTTCAACAACATTTAAAGGCAAATGACATGGAAGAACCTTTTCAATCTGCTTATAAAAGGCACCACAGTACGGAAACCGTTCTTTTAAAGGTATCATCAGATGTTTTAAATGAAATCAATAATAAAAAAGTCTGTGTTTTGGTTCTACTTGATTTGTCAGCGGCGTTCGATACCATCGACCACGAAATTTTACTAGAGAGATTGGAAAAGTCATTTTTACTATCAGGTACTGTTCTAATGTGGTTTAAATCATATCTAGAAAATAGATTTATGTCAGTGAAAATTGGCAATGATGTGTCAGATAGGTTACCTCTAAAGTATGGAGTTCCTCAGGGTTTGGTCCTTGGTCCTGTCATCTTTACAATGTACACGCAAAGTCTGTCATCAATAATTATATGCCCTCAATTACCATCTTTATGCAGACGACACACAGCTGTATGGATTCACTACAACTGACAATGTACACAATCTCATAGATAGAATCGCCAGATGTATCAATGATATAAGAAAATGGATGTTTAAGAACAAATTAAAATTAAATGAGGATAAGACCAAAATATTATTTCTTCGTAGCAGCGCATGCAACGAAATCGACAATATCAGAATAAACATCAATGGCCACGAAATATCAGCCCAAACTAAAATTAAAAATTTAGGTGTGGAGCTAGATCAAGATGTCAATGACATCCCATGTATCCAATCTTTGTAAAAATCTATATCTCCAACTGAAGAAAATAGGGAGCATTAGAAATATCTATCTGTTGGTGTCACCAAAACTTTAATAACATCACTTATATTGTCAAGGATTGATTATTGCAATCCTTACTGGCTGGTGTACCTGATGAACAGTTACAACAACTACAAAGAGTACAAAATATTGCTGCCAAAATAGTTACTAAGAAACTAAAGCATGATCATGTGGCTCCTATTTTAAAAGAACTACACTGGCTCCCGGTGAAAGAGCGTATCATATATAAAATCTGTTTAACTTGCTACAAGTGCTTACATAATTTATCACCTGACTATCTAAAACAGTTTTAACACCCTATGTACCTCCTAGAACCCTCAAATCATCAAGTGACTAAACAACCCTTGTTAAACCTAAAATAAATTACAAAACATATGGCCAACGCTCTTTTTCATATTTTGCCCCACTTGTTTGGAATAGGTTTCCAAAAACTATCAGAGAAGCAGAAAATCTAGAAATTTTTAAGAAGAAACTAAAAACATTTCTATTTTCATCATAAATCGATTAGACAGAATCCATCCAAGCTGTAGATCGTTGTGAGTTTGTATTTGATATGAGCGTATGTACGTATATGTGTATGTATGTGTGTGTGGTGCGTGCGTGCGTGAGTATGTGTGGGCACGCGTATGTAACACTATATGCCTTTAAAATTGATTTGTAAATCCATAATATGTATCATGTTAAAGCGCATAGAGCATTGCATGTGGATATGCGCTATATAAATGCAATCCATTATTATTATTATTAACATAAAAATATATTTTAAAAACTTTAGGCCATATGAGCGCCAAGCGGCGGATGTCGACAGAGAAGTCCAAACGGGGAATCAGGCTTACTCTGCTCACCTCTCTAGTCTCAAAAGCACAAAGTCTGCTTCGACTATCAAGGCACCCCGGAAACAGCAGTGCACAAAAGAGAGTGACAAACAAACAAAAAATGGTAGAGGAAATGACGATAGTAAGGATGAGAAAAGAAAAAGCAGCAGTTCCCCCTATAAATATGTTGTTTCGGCACAGTATGAGCATGACATTGATAAATCAGCCCATTGCCATTCAGCATTCTACAGTGCATAAGAACATGTTAATTTTAATGTCCCTCCTTTGGGAACGGTGAGGTTTACAGCAGCCAAGTTCTGCTTACCACTGAGTATACTGTGATAGTCCTGAACTTGTTTTTGGCTTTGCTTTGGCTCGGTGCAGAAGGCAGGGCTACTGTGAAAATGGCAGGTCGTTGCGTCATTATTATAACCGCTGCCTGGTGCAAGAACCCTCAGTCTGCCTGCAGAAACTGAAGCAGTTGAGACATCAGAACCAGATGACAATAGAAGTGTGGAAAATCTCCTCGCTGTAATAAGGGACTTCCAAGAAATTGACAAGCAACGCAAGTGTGATCTGCTGATCATCATCACTCTCTTTTTACACTTTTGCGCTAAGCCGCTAAGTAGACAGTAGTCTCAGTCAGTCTTTTCGCATCAGTCTTTTACTAAGTACAAGATTTGTTTCGTTGTTTTCATCCCCAGGTCCACTTACGCACTGAGGGACACTGTAAATAAGCGTAGATCTACTTTCTTTGTCTATCTGGTGCTCTCTATTTGGACTAAACTTTTTTTTATCCCTCAGGCCAAGCAGTCAAAAGTTCAGTTTTTCTTGTCTTCGTTGACTTTGTTTATTCCTAGGCCTGGTTTATTTTGGCAGAGTTATCTTCCCCTTGCACAGCTGTGTTCGTGGAAGTTCGTTTCTCAACTTATTCGCAGTAATATTTAACAATTAACTCATTATCAATTAGGGGTAATAATAATAATGGATTGCATTTATATAGCGCATATCCACTTATGCAATGCTCTATGCGCTTAACATGATACATATAATGGATTTACAAATCAATTTTAAAGGTACATAGTGTTACATACTCATGCAAACACATATTCACTCACGCACGCACCACACACACATACATACTCACATACACACATACGTACATATGCACATACGCACATACAAACTCACAACGATCTACAGCTTGGATGCATTCTGTCTAATCGAAATATGATGAAAATAGAAATGATTTTAGTTTCTTCTTAAAAATTTCTAGATTTTCTGCTTCTCTGATACTTTTTGGAAGTCTATTCCAAAAAAGTGGGTCGAAATATGAGAAAGAGCGTTGGCCATATGATTTGTAATTTATTTTAGGCTTAACAAGGGTTGTTTTGTCACTTGATGATCTGAGCGTTCTAGGAGGCACATAGGGTGTTAAAAGCTGTTTTAGATAGTCCGGTGATAAATCATTTAAGCACTTGTAGCAAGTTAAACAGATTTTATATATGATACGCTCTTTCACGGGGAGCCAGTGTAATGCTTTTAAAATAGGAGTCACATGATCATGCTTTAGTTTTTTAGTAATTATTTTGGCAGCAATATTTTGTACTCTTTGTAGTTGTTGTAACTGTTCATCAGGTACACCAGGGTAGTGTGGGTTCAGTTAGTGCATAATGCACGACGCAAAGAAATAATTTCCACAAATTTAAATAAAAATAATATACAGGTTAAAGACTCAAGTTGACAGACGTCAAAGGCTATTATTTGTCTAATTTTGTAGAAATTTAGACTTTGTACGGCAAGTAGCGGAGAGGAGCAATCTAATATGGTCCTGGGGGGTGGGGGGTGGGGGGGTGGGGGGGTGAAACCTCACCAAAAGGTGTGAAACTTTACCGAGGGGTGTGAACGTGCGCAAGTGGCGGGTCAGCATGGAAACTTTCCTGGGTAACAGACGGGAAATTACATTTGACCGTTATTAATTTGATCAAACGGCAGGAGAAAATTAAATTCCTCGAACAGTTGTTATAATAATATACTAATGTATAATATGCTGGGGAGGGTGGTGTTGGTTGATTGCGCTTATGACATCGATGGGTGGGGCTATGGGCGGTTAAAACAGACGCCCAATCGTTTCTGTTTGTTTGTTTGTTTGTTTGTTTGTTTGTTTGTTTGTTTGTTTGTTTGTTTGTTTGAGTACGTGTTTTACGGCACTATCGACTCAATTTGGATAATGCGGGTGTCAACAAATGTAAATATGGTAAAGACTCTTACAATGTATTTACCTGGGTATTTACAATATTAATTTCAATGTACACCGACAACCACAACTAAACATTTTTTATACTCAATGAAACAATCCAATTCTTTTTCTTCTTTTTAAATATAAAATTTACAATTTTCCTTGGACTAAGGATGTCAAAAAGAGTGTTGATATCCAATCGTTTCTGTTTTCACAGTGAGATAGACCAAACAGTGAGATAGGTCAAACAGTGGTCCTATGAGGTGCATGAGTCACTGATGGTAATGGACAAGTAAGACTGACGACATGCTATTATCAGAGAAACTTGTATAGCACTTGAGAGGTGTGAAGTTTTTGCGACAGCGTGTCCTCATGACATTAGACCCTCTATGATCCTACCAGAGAGTTGACTGTTATTGGTCCTACCAGAGGGTTGACTGTTATTGGTCCTACCAGAGAGTTGACCCTTATTGGTCCTACCAGAGAGTTGACCCTTATTGGTCCTACCAGAGAGTTGACCCTTAATAATAATAATAATTGCATTTATATAGCGCATATCCATGCTCAAGAGCTTGCTCTATGCGCTTCACAACTATTATTACCCCAGCAGACCCTCTGAAAACACTCAGAAACATTCTCAGCTTCCGCGGAAGCATACAGTGCAAGCTGCGGATTTCACGCGCTCAAACACTATCAAACTGACAAGATTTTTCACTGTCTATAGCTGGGGACCCTTATTGGTCCTACCAGAGAGTTGACCCTCTGTGATCCTACCAGAGAGTTGACCCTTATTGGTCCTACCAGAGAGTTGACTGTTATTGGTCCTACCAGAGAGTTGACCCTCTGTGATCCTACCAGAGAGTTGACCCTTATTGGTCCTACCAGAGAGTTGACTGTTATTGGTCCTACCAGAGAGTTGACCCTTATTGGTTCTACCAGAGAGTTGACCCTCTATGATCCTACCAGAGAGTTGACCCTTATTGGTTCTACCAGAGAGTTGACCCTCATGATCCTACCAGAGAGTTGACCCTCATGATCCTACCAGAGAGTTGACCCTCATTATCCTACCAGAGAGTTGACCCTTTATGATCCTACCAGAGAGTTGACCCTCTATGATCCTACCAGAGAGTTGACCCTTTATGATCCTACCAGAGAGTTGACCCTCTATGATCCTACCAGAGAGTTGACCCTCTATGATCCTACCAGAGAGTTGACCCTTTATGATCCTACCAGAGAGTTGACCCTCTATGATCCTACCAGAGAGTTGACCCTCTATGATCCTACCAGAGATTTGACCCTTTATGATCCTACCAGAGAGTTGACCCTTTATGATCCTACCAGAGAGTTGACCCTCTATGATCCTACCAGAGAGTTGACTGTTATTGGTCCTACCAGAGAGTTGACCCTTATTGGTTCTACCAGAGAGTTGACCCTTATTGGTCCTACCAGAGAGTTGACCCTTATTGGTTCTACCAGAGAGTTGACGGTAACTCTAAAACTCCCAGGTCCTACCATGTACCCCCCCCCCCTGACCCCCCCCCCCCCCCCCCTTTTTTTCCCTCTTGAATTCCCCTGATCAAGACGATTTTTTTCTGGCTTCATTGCGTTTCTATCTTGGACAGATTCAAACGTTTTTTCACCTCCAACGTGTCTTCCATACGACTTTCATTTATTCCACAAAATCGAAAAAGGGACCAAGGCGACAGCTATTTGAAGACAAGAAAGAAATTTCGTTGGAAACAATTATTAACGCTACGCTAAAAACTCTGGCCAAAGCGGACATGGGCACTGTGTTTGACCACTGGCTACATATTTCGGATGGACAAGTGCGCTGAGATCAACGGTTATTACGTTGAAAAGCAAATATATGTTTCTGTAGGTACGCACCCATTTACCAAACGTTGTGTCTGTAACATAAAAATAAAAATTTAATGGTTGAATTGGTCGCTTTTAAGCACAAGGGGGCTATACTGAAAAATGCTGTTTTGAGAAAATCGAAGGTATAGTTTTTGCCCCTTGTTCAGTTCCTTTAAAAGACAAGGACAATTTTCTTTATAACCAAACAAATATACACACCAATGAAACCAAACTTCTCTTTTAGGTAGGGCAATGCCCACTTTTAGTGTAGGTCAAGATTTCTGGAAACTTGTTCTTAAAAGCGACCAGTTGTAGAAGAGTGAAACGTACTTCTGAGATACACCAAGGGCCTTAGACTTAGACGTATTACTTGGCGCTCATATGACCTAATGCAGTTGTGAGCGCCGTAACACCCAACTAAAACAAAAAGTAAAAGACTTATTACCTAACTAAAAAACTAACAGTATACGACTTATTACCTCCTTGGGCAGACCTCTCAGCTCTACTCTCAGTCTTAAGTAAAAGTTTTACGGCACTTGCAACACAATAAGTTCTTATAAGTGCCGAAGATTAGAAATGTTACATGAGAGTAACATACACAAAAAAAGGTGGGGAAATAAAGATGACAGGTATTTGATAGGAAAGAAGAAGCTAACCACATCAGAGCGCCCGCCAATCACCCTCGCAGCTCTGCTCAAAGTGAGAGCTAAGGTCATGCTATCGTGTACCCTATGACCCTGGAAGTCTGTGTCTGCTCCTATCTGGGCGGGTGGTATCTGTGGCTGTTGTGAAGCCATGGACATACCTGTCGTCCTGAAGCCTGGCCGTAATCGTGGGGGGTCAAGGCCGATACACTGACCTCGTTCTGATACCAGGGGACGATGTTGTAGGCTTCAACAGCGACATTGAGAAAGTTTTAGGAAGAGTTTTACAGCACTTGCAACACATTACGGTCGTATAAGTGTTGAGGATTAGAATTGTTACAAGAGAGTAACATACACAAAAAAAGATAAGGAAGATAGATGTTTGATACGAAAGAAGGCGCAAACCATACCAGAGCACCCGCCAACCACCCACAGACATTGAGAAAAGACGAGAAGAAGGGAGTATCTAGTAGGATGTTGTGACATTTTCTTTAAAAGTGGAAGACGGGAATGTACGTCTTTATTCGGAAGTTATCGATCGTAACGACTTCATAAACACCTCTCTCTCTCTCTCTCGCTCTCTCTCTCTCTCTCTCTCTCTCTCGCTCTCTCTCTCTCTCTCTCTCTCGCTCTCTCTCTCTCTCTCTCTCTCGCTCTCTCTCTCTCTCTCTCTCTC